TGGGGCACTATGCATCCCACTGACATCAGTGATGGGGCACTATTCCTCCCACTGATACCAACGATGGGGCACTATGCATCCCACTGACATCAGTGATGGGGCACTATTCCTCCCACTGACACCAGTGATGGGGCAGTATTCATCCCACTGACATCAGTGATGGGGCACTATTCCTCCCACTGATACCAACGATGGGGCACTATTCCTCCCACTGATACCAACGATGGGGCACTATTCCTCCCACTGATACCAACAATGGGGCACTATTCATCCCACTGACATCAGTGATGGGGTACTACTCCTTCCACTGACACCAATGACATGGCACTACTCCTCCCACTGCAAAATTACAGTTATGAAGTAGCAATGAAAATAATTTTATGGTTGGGGGTCACCACAACATGAGGAACTGTATTAAGGGGTCGCGGCATTAGAAAGGTTGAGAACCACTGCTCTAGGGGGTCTCTTCACTCCTTTCTAATTTATCTCTCCATATGCATAAGTGCCATGTAAAAAAAGAGTAAAATATAGTGCCTTATCTTCTTCATAAAGTATTTCTTAAGCCAAAATATAGTGCACTCACATGATATAAATAATAAAATCTCTTTTGTATGCAATATTGTATGATCCTCTATGTGTTTGCCACACTCCTAATACTTGCTGTATATTTTCCTTTAAGCATTGTGACGTCAGAGCCACTACGCGTTACGCCACTGGGTCACATGGCTTCATCAGGGGAAATGATTGGACGACACAATGCTCATTGATTTATAAAGGAACTATGGGCGCCATTTTCTAGTGGACTGCATGGCGGCGGCCATTTTCTTGGGGGCAAATTCCTATTATATTATAAAGATTTTGTGGACTTTTTATAGATAAAAATTTTTTTACTTTTCACTAGTGGAATACACACTATAAGTCTCGGTTGATTTGAAATTAGCACACAGCTTTAGCAGGACTGCAAACTAAAGTTAGACTCACTTATGTAATTTAAAAATATTTACAATTATATTTGATTTATTTATGTATATACCTTTTTTTTGCATATTTCACATTTAATGCTATTAGTGGAGCGCGACACGTTTGCATTTGATTTTGATTATAGTGACAAAGTACATACATTTTTAATATCGATAGGCGACGCTTTAAAAGCCTTTACAGGTCACCATTTTATATTTGGACAGGAGGTCTAGTGCTATAATTACTGCCCTCAATCTAACGTTTGCGGTGATACCTCACATGCATGGTGCAATCTCTGTTTACATACCGATACAGGACCAACACCTGCATTCGCCTTTGCGCACGGGAATGGGGGTGAGTTTTGTTTTTTTTTAAACCGTCCTTTTCTTTTTTTTTTTTTTGATCACTTTTATTGAAATATAAATATCCCCTGTGATAGCAATAGGCAAGAATCCAGCGAAACGGAAATGATGAAATGCTCGTAGCTTACGATTTCTTAGACTATAGAGATGATTGGATTCTGGTCTCTGGATGATTGGAGCCATTCTGGTTGTCCTGTTTATAGGTTACATTAAAAGTGGAAAAAATTCTGAAATGATTTATCTTTGTATCATTTTTTTTACATCACAGAAACCTGACATTTTAAAAACACTCTGACTCTGTCAGATTGCAAGGGCATCTCCTGGTCACAGCCCTCTTCAGATCACCCCACAGATTTTTGATTGGATTCAGGTCTGGGCTCTGGCTGAGCCATTCCAAAACTTTAATCTTCTTCTGGTGAAGCCATTCCTTTGTTGATTTGGATGTATGCTTTGGGTCGTTGTCATGCTGAAAGATGAAGTTCCTCTTCATGTTCAGCTTTCTAGCAGAAGCCTGAAGGTTTTCTCCCAATATTGACTGGTATTTGGAACTGTTCATAATTCCCTCTATCTTGACTAGGGCCCCAGTTCCAGCTGAAGAAAAACAGCCCCAAAGCATGATGCTGCCACCACCATGCTTCACTGTGGGTATGGTGTTTTTTTGGTGATGTGCAGAGTTGTTTTTGCGCCAAACATATCATTTGGAATTATGGCCAAAAAGTTCACCCTTGGTTTCTTCAGACCATAACACATATTCCCACATGCTTTTGGGACACTTCAGATGTGGTTTTGCAAAATTTAGTCAGGCTTGGATGTTTTTCTTCGTAAGAAAAGGCTTCCATCTTGCCACTCTTCCCCATAGCCCCGATATATTAAGAATTTGGGAGATTGTTGTCACATGTACCACACAGCCAGTACTTGTCAGATACTCCTTTAGCTCTTTTTTTTGTTGTAGGCCTCTTGGCAGACTCCCAGACCAGTTTTCTTCTCATCTTTTCTTCAATTTTGGAGGGATGTCCAGTTCTTGGTAATGTCACTGTTGCGCCATATTTTCTCCACTTGATGATGACTGTCTTCACTGTGTTCTATGGTATATCTAATGCCTTGGAAATTCTTTTGTACACTTCTCCTGACTGATACCTTTTAACAATGAGATCTCTCTGATGCTTTGGAAGCTCTCTGCGGACCATGGCTTTTGCTGTAGGATGTGACTAAGAAAATGTCAGGAGAGACCTACTAGAATGGCTGAACTTTATTTGGGGTTAATCAGAGGCACTTTAAAATGATGGCAGGTGTGTACTGACTCCTATTTAACCTGATTTTGAAAGTGATTGCTAAATTCTGAACACAGCTACATCCCCAGTTATGAGAGGGTGTGCACACTTACGCAACCACATTATTTTAGTTTTTTATGTTTACTCCCCCCCCAAAAAAAGATTTCAGCTTGTCTTTCAACTGAGTTGTGCAGTTTATAGGTCACATTAAAGGTGGAAAAAGTTCTGAAATTATTTAGCTTTGTCTTATTGTCTTACATCACAGAAACCTGACATTTTAACAGGTGTGTAGACTTTTTATATCCACTGTTTGTGTGTATATAAATATACAGTTGTGTTCAAAATAATAGCAGTGTGTTGAAAAAAAGTGAATAAAGCTCAAAATCCTTCTAATAGCTTTTATTTCCATACACACAAATGCATTGGGAACACTACACATTCTATTCCAAATCAAAACATGAAAAAAAATATATCAAATTTGTGTTCCTCTAAAAAAAAATTGAAGAAAAGTGAATATTAGACTATTAAAAAAAATAGCAGTGTTTGTATTCTTCTTTACAAACTCAAACATTCACTATATAAACTGAAAAATGTTTGAAGATTTTGCTTTCCTTTGAATCACTTAATTAATATTTAGTTGTATAAGCACTGTTTCTGAGAACTGCTATACATCTGTGTTGCATGGAGTCAACCAAATTCTGGCACCTGTGAACAGGTATTCCAGCCCAGGATGATTGGACTACATTCCACATGTTCTCTATTTCTTGGTTTTGCCTCAGAAACTGCATTTTTGATGTCACCCCACAAGTTTTCTATTGGATTAAGATCCGGGGATTGGGCTGGCCACTCCATAACATCAATCTTGTTGGTCTGGAACCAAGATGTTGCACGTTTACTGGTGTGTTTGGGGTCGTTGTCTTGTTGGAACAGCCATTTCAAGGGCATTTCCTCTTAAGCATAAGACAGCATGACCTCTTCAAGTATCCTGATGTATTCAAACTGATCCATGATCCCTGGTATGCCGATAAATAGGCCCAACACCGTAGTATGAGAAACATCTCCATATCATGATGCTTGCGCAACCATGCTTCACTGTCTTCACAGTGTACTGTGGCTTGAATTCAGTGTTTGGGGGTCGTCTGACAAACTGTCTCCGGCCACTAGACCCAGAAAGAAGAATCTTACGTTCATCAGTCCACAAAATGTTGCGCCATTTCTCTTTAGGCCAGTCAATGTGCTCTTTGGCAAATTGTAACCTCTTCAGCACGTCTTTTTTTCAACAGTGGGACTTTGCGGGGGCTTCTTGCAGATAGCTTGGCTTCACATAGGCATCTTCTAATTGTAACAGTACTCACAGGTAACTTTAGACCTTCTTTGATCTTCCTGGAGCTGATTGTTGGCTGAGTCCTTGCCATTTTGGCTATTCTTCTATCCATTTGAATGGTAGTTTTTCGCTTTCTTCCACGTCTTTCAGGTTTTGGTTGCCATTTTAAAGCATTTGCGATCATTTTAGCTGAGCAGCCTATCATTTTCTGCACTTCTTTATATGTTTTCCCCTCTCCAATCAACTTTTTAATCATGATACGCTGTTCTTCTGAACAATGTCTGGAACGACCCATTTTCCTCAGAATTTCAGAGAGAATAGCACTGTAACCAGCATGTACAATATTTGCTGCCTTCCTTCCTTAAATAAGGGCAATAATTGCTACCTGTTTTTCAAAGAATGAATGACCTCACTAATAGAACTCCACACTGCTATTATTTTGAACATGCCCCTTTCAATTAGTGATTCAATTACACAGAATCAGCAGCATGCATGTCATGACTGTTGGGTCTGTTGGATTTCTATTACTCTACTACACCTGCTAGTAAATTATTTGCCATGTAGAAATATCATTTCTACCAAAAACAGTGATTGATCAGGTTAGTGATGTCTGACTATTATTTTGAACACAACTGTATATACAGTATCTCACAGAAGTGTGTACACCCCTCGCATTTTTGTAAATATTTTATTCTATCTTTTCATGTAACAACACTGAAGAAATGACACTTCGCTACAATGTGACGTAGTGAGTGTACAGCTTGTATAACAGTGTAAATTTGCTGTCCCCTCAAAATAACTCAACACACAGCCATTAATGTCTAAACTGCTTTATTTTGATATATATATAATTTTATTTTATTTTTTTACACAGGTACCATAGTAACATTGTAATACACTGGGGAAATGATCAAGATTTTTTTTTTTTTTTTTTTTTACACATTATGATTGCTTATACCAGTTAATTTCAATGTTATAAGCAACCATTTTTATTGAATGAAATTGATTCATTCAGTGTTTTTACTATTGTGGTTAGCTGTGATTTATCATTTTTTTTGTAACAGAGCCTTATTTTGGTGGTATTTAATCACCTCTGGGTTTTTTATTTTTTTATTAAACAAACCAAAAATTACTGAAAATTTTGAAGAAAAAAAAAAAAAGTTTTAGTTTGTGTTATAAATTTTTGTAAATAAGTGATTTTTCTCCTTCACTGATGTGCGCTAATGATGCTGCAGTGATGGACACTGATAGGTGGCACTGATGGGCATTGACAGGCATCACTGATGGCCACTGATAGGCAGCACTGTTAGGTGGCACTGAAAGGCAGCTCAGATGTGTGCTGGTAGGCACTGATATGTGGCATTGATGGGCACTGACAGGTGGCACTGATGGGTCTACACAGGTCACCAGGGCACACTGATCAGCTGTCAGCGTGACAGCTCGTGAGGAGAGAAATGCCGATAACCATCATTTCCCTATTTACATGCGATCAGCTGTGATTGGACACAGCTGATCACATGACCGAGCCGGCTCTTTCCGTTGATCGGTGATCCGCTGTGTCCAAGGGACACCGCGCACCACAGATCACCACGCTGCGTGCTTAGAATGGACGACATCATATGATGTCCTCCCAGAACGAGAGAACCGCCTTGCGCCCGTCATAACACTATATGGCGGGGGGGCGGTTAATCTATTTTTTTTAATGCTTCTTCAATTACTTCTAGGTTTCTTGCCCAGACAAATTATGACATACATCCCAGGAGTCTTCAGGAGGAGGGGTTTTCTCAGCTAGGAATACCTTCCTGTCTGAGCTATAGGCAGTTGGATTCCAGAAAGTAATTGCTACATGAATCATCGGCACATATGCCAGTGTTTTTCACAGTGATTTCACAGCAAAATGAAGCATGGAGACATGGATGGGTAAGTTTGCTTTGAATATTAAAAATAAAATTAATATAATAAAAGCATAAGGTTTTTGTTTCAAAAACAAGCATTCAGCCCGGTAGGTCACGAAAGGAGGGGGACAAGCAAGCACCCCCCCTCCTTCCCCCCTGAACCATTCTAGGCCACATGCCCTGAACATATGGGAGGGGGTGCTTTGAGGCATCCTCCCCCCAAAGCACCTTGTCCCCATGTTGATAGGAACAAGGGCCTCTTCCCCACAACCATGGCCAGTGGTTGTGGGGGTCTGCGGGCAGGGGGCTTATTGGAATTTGGAAGCCACTTTTAACAAGGGGGCCTCCAGATCACACCCCCCAATGTGAAGGAGTATGGGGTACACAAAAAAAAAAAAAGTGTAGTGTAAAAATAGACAGTCTTTGACAAGTCCTTTATTAAAAACAAAAATTAAAAAATGGCTGACAGATCTAAAAAAATATTTCTAAAAGGAGAGTCAGGAAGTATACCTACCTGTTTCCACTCCTGCTATATGCTCCAGGATCCTTATCTGTGGCCCACCTCTCAAACTGCAGCCAGACCTTTTGTGCCACCTTGATTATTTATGTACACCACTGATGTGCATCAGCAGGGTGCAGAGAACATCTTCACAGTCAAACAGGGTAACGTCTGTGATGAGAGTCTTACAGCAGAGAGGCAGAAAGGATCTACCCCAAAACACCATCATGACAGATGTCACAACAGCAAGGACACTTTCATTGGTAGCTCAAGGCAGATCACCCTGTCCAAATAAAAGGGAGAGGTGTTCCACTTTGGGTGAGGGGGAAGAGACTGCTTCAAAGGATGACACCAAGGGGTTTATTTACTAAAGCTGGAGAGTCCAAAATCAGACTCACTTCTGCATAGAAACCAATCAGCTTCCAGGTTTCATTGCCAAAGCTTCATTGAACAAGCTGAGGTTAGAAGCTGATTGGTTTCTATGCAGAAGGGAGTCTGATTTTGGACTCTCCAGCTTTAGTAAATAAACCCCCATGAGACAAAGGATGACACCATGTGCCTTTTTGGGGAAGAATTTTCCTTCTGGTCCCAGAAAACAACAACAAGAACTGAGAAGAAATCTCTACAAAGCCAGAATAATTCCTCTCATAGACCTAGGTAAACTGAAGTGTTAAGGAATAAACAATAAAAACCTGACAGCTCCTCACCCTTCTTCACTCTAGCCAAAACTAAAAAAAAAAAAAAACAAAAACAAAAAAAAAAAAAAAAACGTAAGTTTTGGTTTCAAATACACTAGAGAGCCCATATACTTATTGTGGTGCATCGACTGAAGTGCGGTATGTCATGTTTTAATATGCAGTATGTTAGACACCCTAAACAAAATAAATAAGCTGTGAATGCACCCCAATGTCCACAAAATTGCACATGACCCTTTTTTGTAGCACAACACACTAACATACGTTTCGGCAGGCTACAACACAGGTGCAGACAGGAATTTGAAAGTTGTCATTGGAAGTCTTCACTTTGACCTCCAAGTTAAATAACATTATATTGTTTGGGAACGTTAAAAGAGAAGTACGGGCTTTAGAAAAAAAAAAAAAAAAAAAAAAAATATACTCACCTAGGCGGATGCTGCATCTGTCCCCACCAGCTCTGCACTGAGAATGAAGCAAACAAACACCGCTGATCGCTCAGTTCTCCCCCTCCACTCTGAGTGAGACTGTCAGTCTCAAGCTCTCTGTTCTACTCCTCTGGGAATGCTGGGCTGTAAAGTAGGTGAGAGGGGCTGACTCAGGCTCTCAACAGCATTCGTAGAAGCTGAGCCAGATGCCGGTCCAGGCTTCTGGGTGAATCCCAACCATATAGTCGGGATCTTTTCAAAGCCTGGACAAGCTCTGTGATGTCAGCGGACAGTAGTCTTTACAAGAACTGCATTCCTGTGATCCATAGAAGTACAGCCAAAAAAGCTTTGGTTATATTTTTTTAAATCTGAAGAAAGCATGGGCTTTAAATGGTAAATACTAGAACAGATCCACGTGCTGTGGTCCTAACACTACTAGTTTGCCTGGTTGTCTCTGTCTTTAATACTCCGAATCATTGATACCGAATATGAATGAAAATTAGGTCAGTGAATTCTAAACTGCTGATGTACATACAGTATTTAATCCGTGTCAGTGCATCAGAAAGCTTCAGATGGAGTGGTCAGCAGCGGCAGTTTTCATATTCGCTTAGTACAGGCTTCCTTCAACCACCTCCTGCTGGTGTCACCGTAATTGGGCACTTAAAAGTGGCCAAGTGTATTGGACAGCAGACACTAGGGTTGATTTACTAAAACTGGAGCGTGCCAAATCTGGTGCAGCTCTACACAGAAAACAATCAGCTACCAGTTTTTTTTTTTTTTGTCAAAGCTTAATTGAACAAGCTGAAGATAGAAGCTGATTGACTACCATGCACAGATTTTGCACTCTCCAGTTTAAGTAAATCAACCCCATTGTCAATTGTGGCCTTCAGCTCTGGCTTAGGGTGTGCTGTTATCAGTGTTGTTACCAAGATTGTTTGACCTGACCACTAAGTGAACTTTGCTTTTTCCTGACCTTCTACTGGGAAAGACATTAGCACGGGAGGTAGGTTTAGAGAGAATTGTTACAAAACACGAAGTGCTTTGTAGCAATTATCCTTTGGGAAAAAGTTCACCTTTGGGAACATGTTACATGTTCCACCCATTTTTAAAGGTGGAACATGTAACATGTTCTCATAACCGCAGCAGCTGCCGCCCGCCAACCCCCCTCCCTCTAACAAATAATGCGGGGAGAAGTCTCCCTGCACTGTCAAATTTGAAAACAGTGCAGCTATGCGGGGCTCCATCCACACGGCTGCATCATTCATTCAAAGACTTCCGTGAATTAGTGGCTGTCAGCTTGTAGTTTTCAATTAACTACCACAGCACTGTGGAGCGCCGTGGTAGTTCATTGAAGCTTCCTGTCAGTATATCTGCTTGCTCGTACATCCTGTACAGCAAGCAGATATTCTGACAGGTCTGCTGGAGACCTGCATGGCATCAGCGATCTACTGATCGCTGGTGCAATGCTTTCCAGGCTCCTGTAGACAAAAATAATAAATGCACATTTTTTTTACCTGCAAAATAATCTGCATTTATTATGTTTGTCGAAAAGGCGAACTTATCCTTTAAAGTGTTAAACCCAGGACCCTGCATTCACTATATCCAGTCTTCCACAGTACACAAAACATGAAAATGCAATTATTTTAGTAAATATAAACTGCTAAAAATACCTTTTCTCATCAGCAGTATATAGCAATCTTGTGACTTCTAGGACAGTCAGAGAATTAAAACTCCTCCCACAAGGCTGCATGACCCCTGACCCTCTGCCTGGACAGTGCTGATTTGGCCTGTGCCGATCACATACATTCTCCCCCCCAAAAAAAGAAACTCCCTAGCAATACACACCAAACTGAGCATGTGCAGAGTGTCTCCTAGGGCTCTGTACTATCAGCAGATGGATTGGGGAATGTGGAAGAGGAGGATCAGAGAAGACAGGATCAAACAGCCTTTTTACATAATGCATAGGATTAACCCCTTAGGTTCCACTGTGAGTATAACAAACATGCTTTACTACATATACAGACCGATTTTACTTTCGTTACACTTTAAGCTGGCCATACATTATACAATTTTCTTGTTCAATTTGATTTAGATTTATCTTCAACCATGTAGTGCAAGGGCTTTCCTGATTGCAAGTTAAAGGAAAGTTGTACAAGAAAATTGTTTAATCTATTGCCAGTCTTAAAGTGACACATATTGCAACAAGTAACTGCTCACAAGCCTACCCATTGGCTATAGTGCTGGGCTTTCAGGTGCCAGCATAGGATCGAAATTTGTCAGCGTTGAAAGTCCACATAAGAGTCTGGCTGCACACCAAATTATTTAGCGTTTGGAAAAGCTTAATTTTTCCTGAGACATGAACAGAAAGCCCAATCTGGGACCTCCTTCTCTGGTGAATTTTCCCCAAAAACAGTCTTAATGGTAGAAGTCATTAGCAGTACAGGTGGGTTTAATGAGAATTGTAACAAAGTGACAGGTTTACTTTAAAGGGGCAAAGAAGAAGCACCCTGTTACAAAAGGAGGAATAATACCTGTAGAGGAAAGTGTTGGGACACTTACGCTTGTGGTTCCACTTGTTGGTCGCTATATCACTGCAGAACAGTAATGGATATATGGGCAGACTTCAGCAACACAACCTTTCTATACAAAAAAAAAACGGCAACACATAAAACTCTTACTTTTATGACTGTTTAATCTCTTGCTAGTAATGTCTAGGATACAAGATAAAGTATTTATTATCCCACCAAAATAATAGAATCAGTGGCCAAAACATATTTACATGATACAGAAAATGCCAAAACTATAGTTTTTCACAAGTTGTTTATTTAAGGTAATCAAGAAAAATTAAACAAGTGTTCCCAAGTACCAAGAAACAGAATAAATCCTAGGTGTATATATTATTTACAGTTCCAGTGCAGCATTTAAATAAGGGAATTCAAAATAGCTTGTCATTCAGCTCGTTTTTCATCTGTTGGAGGTTCGTGTTGGGCAAGCTGCAAAAATGAACAAAAAAGAATTAGATGGTGTTATATATATATGCACACACTGTATTATACTGTTGATTATATATATATATATATATATATATATATATATAAATAAATAAATAAAAATCAGCAATGAGTACACACTAAGCTAAAAGTGAAGACAGAGTGCACTTATGCTGAGACAATATCATTATACCAACGGCAATGTCAAGCAACAAATTCCATGGTATTGCAATTGATTTGACTGTCATACAATATGCCAAATTTTTCAAATAATCACAAAAATGACCTATCACGTACAGGCTCTAGGCAAGAAAGTTATTTTGTAGTAGTAAAAACACCTCTCCTTCCTGCACAAGCATCATTCTGTGGTCTGAACTGGAGGTGGGTTTACTTTGCTTCTCTAGTAGGAATACAGGCTGGACATCCGACTGGTTCACCATCCACCCTCTATGGTTTCTTCACTTCCTAGTAGTGCACAACATACACACACTGCTCCAACAATACATTGCGTGGGCCAACTGGCCTTGTCATACTGGGGGTATGCATGTGGTTTTGCAAACTAAGTGACTATAATACATTTGCTTTTGCATATTTAAGCTGACATACAGTAGCACTAAATTAGCGATGTCTGCTAATTTGTGAGGGCTGCCTTCCCTTTGCTAAAACACTGCGCTGAATATGGCGGAAAAAAAGTGTGTGGGAAAAAGCTAGCTAATTACATTTCCCTTGTTGCTGCCAATGGCACCTAGGCATGGGCTATGTCACCATCCTTTCAGTGAGACCTCAGAGAATTGCAGAGTATCAAAATCTCATGACAGTCTTGCACCGTGCTGGAGCAACATACTGTGAGATTTGGGCTCCTTGGCATTGGCTTGAGATCTCCTTAAAACGATGATGATATCAACTTCCCCCCACAGGAAGCATGGAAGCTGGAGGAAATGAATATTAATCACTGAAAGACTAGCAACGTACTGTACATCGCTGGACTTTGAGTGGTTATAACAGGATGATGCCTGCAGCTGCAGGCATTATCTCGGTGTATATATATTTTTTTTGCTGGCGATCAGCTTTCTTGTAAGAGCAATTCTATTGGCTAATTAGCTGCAGGATTGTTTTTACAAGCAGCAGGAGCAGCCTCCCCCTCCACGGTTCTCCCATCCCACCTGGAGACCCAAGCTTTCAGCCAACGGGTTCCACTAGCTGACTACAGAGCTAATCAGAAAACAGAATGGCTCTGATCAGCTCTGTGATGCGAAGAGCAATTAATCAGTTCTGGTTTCGCCAGCTGTAAACAAACCCTTAGGGGTTTGAAAAAAAACATCAGATCATACAGTTCTTGGCATGATCCATAGCTTTTAAAGGACAGAGGGGAGATTTGGGCCCTAATAGACCAGAGAGTGCCTGTCACTGCTTCTTGCTATCACAGGGGATATTTATATTCCCTGTGAGAACAATAAAAGTGGAAAAAAAAAACAAAAACAAATTAAAGATTGTGTAAATTAAATGAATAATAAAAAAAACATCTGAAAGCACCCACATCCCCCCCCCCCCCCCCGTGCTCGCACACAAAGGTGAACAGAAGCGTTGTGCGTGAACACATATCTAAACAGCAATTGTACCACACAAGTGAAGTATCACCGTGAACATTAGATTATGGGCACTAGTTCTAGCACCAGACCTCCTGTGTAATTCTAAAGTAGTAACCTGTAAAGGCTTTTAAAGTGCCTATGGATAATAAAATTTCATTTTTCGCTGTTGCACGGGCTTGTGCAATTTTAAGCATGTTTGGTATCTATTTACGCACCATAACTTCCTTTTATATTTTACAAAACAACTGGGTATTATATTGTGTTTTTGTTTATTAAAATTCCAAAAAGCTTATTTCTTCCAAAAAAACTGCAATTGAAAAACCGCTGAGCGAATACCATGTTACATAAAAAACACCATTTCTCTTGGGCCTCTGCTTAAAAAATATATAATGTTTGAGGGGTCTAAGTAATTTTCTAGCAACAAATACCATTTTGTTACTTGTAAACAAAAGTGTTGTTAAATTAGTAAAGCCCCCCCGATGCCTCAATACAGCCCCCCCCCCAAAGCACCTTGTCCCCATGTTGATGGGGCCTCTTCCCCACAACCCTGGCTGGTGGTTGTGGGGGTCTGCGGGCGGGGGGCTTATCAGAATCTGGAAGCCCCCAGGTCCCACCCTCCCATGTAAATGAGTATGGGGTACATGGTACCCCTACTCATTCACGAAAAACAAAAAGTGTAGTGTGAAAAAAGACAGGACACGGTCTTTGACAAGTCCTTTATTAAAAGAATAAAAAAAAGAATGTTCCCCGCAGTAGATCTGCTACTGGACCCTGGCTTGTTCATCTTCTGTTTGGGCTATCCTGAGGACCAAGACCTGGTACTAACACACAGCAAAACCCATCTCCACCATCAGGAGTTCTGGTAAATACTAGCTAGTACTTAGACCCCGCACCTCAGATAGGTTCACATCATCTGCAAGGGTGACCTGCTGGTGTATTTACAGTTGTGTTCAGAATAATAGCAGTCAGACATCACTAACCTGATCAATCACTGTTTTTGGTAGAAATGATATTTCTACATGGCAAATAATTTACTAACAGGTGTAGTAGAGTAATAGAAATCCAACAGACCCAACAGTCATGACATGCATGCTGCTGATTCTGTGTAATTGAATCACTAATTGAAAGGGGCATGTTCAAAATAATAGCAGTGTGGAGTTCTATTAATGAGGTCATTCATTCTTTGAAAAACAGATGGCAATTATTGCCCTTATTTAAGGAAGGAAGGCAGCAAATGTTGTACATGCTGGTTACAGTGCATTGCTCCCTGAAATTCTGAGGAAAATGGGTCGTTCCAGACATTGTTCAGAAGAACAGCGTACCTTGATTAAAAAGTTGATTGGAGAGGGGAAAACATATAAAGAAGTGCAGAAAATGATAGGCTGCTCAGCTAAAATGATTGCAAATGCTTTAAAATGGCAACCAAAACCTGAAAGACGTGGAAGAAAGCAAAACACTACCATTAGAATGGATAGAAGAATAGCCAAAATGGCAAGGACTCAGCCAACAATCAGCTCCAGGAAGATCAAAGAAGGTCTAAAGTTACCTGTGAGTACTGTTACAATTAGAAGACGCCTATATGAAGCCAAGCTATCTGCAAGAAGCCCCCGCAAAGTCCCACTGTTGAAAAAAAGACGTGCTGAAGAGGTTACAATTTGCCAAAGAGCACACTGGCCTAAAGAGAAATGGCACAACATTTTGTGGACTGATGAAAGATTGTTCTTTTTGGGTCTAGTGGCCGGAGACAGTTTGTCAGACGACCTCCAAACACTGAATTCAAGCCACAGTACACTGTGAAGACAGTGAAGCATGGTGGTGCAAGCATCATGATATGGGGATGTTTCTCATACTACGGTGTTGGGCCTATTTATCACATACCAGAGATCATGGATCAGTTTGAATACATCAGAATACTTGAAGAGGTTATGCTGAAGAGAAAATGCCCTTGAAATGGGTGTTCCAACAAGACAACGACCCCAAACACACCAGTAAACGTGCAACATCTTGGTTCCAGACCAACAAGATTGATGTTATGGAGTGGCCAGCCCAATTCCCGGATCTTAATTCAATAGAAAACTTGTGGGGTGACACCAAAAATGCAGTTTCTGAGGCAAAACCAAGAAATAGAGAAGAACTGTGAAATGTAGTCCAGTCATCCTGGGCTGGAATACCTGTTCACAGGTGCCAGAAGTTGGTTGACTCCATGCAACACAGATGTACAGCAGTTCTCAGGAACAGTGCTTATACAACTAAATATTAATTAAGTGATTCAAAGGAAAGCAGAAAATCTTCAAATATTGTTCAGTTTATATAGTGAATGTTTGAGTTTGTAAAGAAGAATACAAACACTGCTATTTTTTTGAACAGTCTAATATTCACTTTTCTTCAATTTGTTTTAGAGGAACAACACAAATTTGATATATTTTTCTTCATGTTTTGATTTGGAATAGAATGTGTAGTGTTCCCAATGCATTTGTGTGTATGGAAATAAAAGCTATTAGAAGGATTTTGAGCTTTATTCACTTTTTTCAACACACTGCTATTATTTTGAACACAACTCTATCCCCCTGATCAGTGGGAGCCTCTCTACAGCAAGAGCTACTGGTCTCTGAACCTGACCGTGACACTGTGCTTTACTCTAATTCTTTGTTAATTTCCATTGCTGTTCTGTATATGATAGGAGACTATGGGTATTACAGACAGCTCTAATTAAAGATATTTTAAAGCCAATGGTTACTCTAAGTTTTATATGAGAAAAAATATCTGCTTTATTTGGTTAATTCATGTGTGTCAAACTATATTCAAGTAACTGCAGCCTTTATAAAACTTGGAGAACATCTTGGAACTCATTCGATTTAGATCCTTAAACCAGCTGAAGGCCATAAAGAACAAGCAAGAAGGACACATATAGTAAAAAAAAGTGCCAATTTGGCAATAGCAACATAATGCAGCAGAAAGTCTTGTCATACTCAAATATAAAATAAAACAAAGGTCAAATACCATAGGACAGTTATTTTTCCTCTCAGAGTTTTAACTAGCACAAACATATTTTGGCATGTTATAAAAAAAACAAAAAAAAAACAACAACAGTACAGTTTATAAAATGTAGATTAAAATTCAAAAAAGTATAGAACACAGCCATAGGAGAAAAGAGAAATGAAGTACTCCAAAAGTAAAAACACAAACCTTTGCTTTCAGTTCTTTATTTTCCTCTAGAACAGCTTCATACTTTTGTTTCAGTTCTGCGACCTCCAAACGCAAAGCTTCCACATCTGGTGTTTCTGGGCCTGCAGCACCTAAGTGCTGTTTTAAAAAGCTGATTATACAGATCAGGAAGAAAACAGTCACTGATCTTGTGACAGTAACATTTCTCAGTCATGAATGTCTTTTAGAGCAGATTGGAGAACTCTAGGATAAAATAGATGGAAGAGAGGTGAGCTTGAGGGGTGCAGAGCAGACAAAGCTGCAGAGCCTGGAATCCCTCAGATTAACAAGTCACCATGCCAGCACAAAGGTAAGCAAGGGCTTTTTCCTTAGGCAGCTCTCAATCCCCTCATCTATTCATCTTGGTGTTCTGTACTTTTGCACTATATTATTATAAAAACATTTCTTCAAGTGGTCCTTTCACCTACATGGGAATCAGAATGAGATGCTGACATAGAATAATATTACACACAATCTGCATCCTATACTATATAAAATATATTTTTATGTCTTAGTGAAGTTTATATTGGCTATATTAAAAATATGAGGTCTGCCTGATCTTTCTCTCAAAATCTACTATCTAGGACAACAGATATGGTCATTTTTTTTATACACTGGGATCCTTTCTTTACATGTATATGAATTTTGAACATCTGGATTTTTATTTATATTTATTCACATTTAGAACATTTGTGCTGAATAGTAGATTTTGGGGGAAAGATATATAGAGTATATAAAGCACTGCACGTTTTGAGGTGTTCTCTTGTATTCTCTAATGATGTAAGAAATTCCCCTTGTCTGAGGGAAGGACACATCTTGTAGATTCCATCTGGAATTTTATACACAAAAAAGTCTGTTTAGGGAAGCTGGAAGTTACTGAAGTAGACACCACTACTTCGGGTGGGGAGGTAGAATGGTAACACGAAGCTCTCCATCTCATTCAAAGAATGATTTGCATTCATTCAGATAATGGATAGCATTTTCAAAATGTGGTGTGTGCTGAGCGGCCAACCTCTTGTATTCACAATGCATCAGGCTGGCCACTCAGCACAGGACCTGGACGCAAGCAGAGATCACTGAAGTAGCATTTCCAGTCTCTCTGGGCATCAGGCAGGCATGGTATACACAGTTACCTTGGTCCAATTTAACTATATAAAAAAATATACCATGCCTGAAATGATTGTTTAAAGCAAAAGCCAGGCCTAAAACTAACTGTGCTTTAAACTATTCCCACCCACCAACTCCTATAATAACTTGTAAAAAAAAAAAAAAAAAAAAAAAAAAAAAAAAAAATGTATATACTTACCTATTCTCAGAGCACTCCAGGTCGGTCACAAGACCTCCCTAGTAGCCGGCATCAGAGGAGAGGAGAGAAAGCCGACAACAGATGGAATACCTGGGCAGTGACGTCACCCATAGGCTAACTATGGGGCATCCGTTGTTAGCTGTCCCTTCCCTTCCCTGAAGCTGCTGCTAGCTGAGAAATAAAAAAATAAAGACAGGCTCACGAGACCAAACTGGTGCTCCCTGAGAACAGGCAAGTAAAAGCATCTTAGTAGTTAGTTCATATAGATGTTAGAAGAGGGGGTTGGGAGCAGTTTTAAAGTGGTTGTAAAGGCTGAAGTAAAAACTCTGTTCAGCATCCCCCCCTAATACTCACCTAAGCCCCTCTTGATCCAGTCTCGGTTATTCAGGGATTCCCTCTCATTGGCTCCCGCTGCTGTCAATCACAGCCAGTCAACCAATGAGAAGAGAGAAGGGGCGGGGCCAAGCCACGGCTTCATCTGTGAATAGACACACGGAGCAGCAGCTGGGCAGTGCGCTTGCTCGGGTGCCCCCATAGCAAGCTGCTTGCTGTGGGGGCACCCAACAGGAGGGAGGGGCCAGGAGCACCAGCGGGCGACCCTAGAAGAGGAGGATCCAGGCTGCTCTGTGCAAAACCACAGCAGGCAAGCAATCATTTTTTATTTATTTTTTTTTTAATTTAAGCCTTTAGAATCACTTTGAGTTTAGTTAGGACTAGCCTGGACTTACTACTTTTAGTAATGGCAACCTCCATATTGTCTCAGTAGAGGTTTCCGTTAACCACTTGCCTAACCAGGCACTTTTACCCTCTTTCTGCCCAGGCCAAATTTCAGCACTGTCTCATTCTCAATGACAATTGCGCGGTCATGGAACACTGTACCCATATGAAGTTATCTTTTTTTTTTTTTTCACACAAATAGAGCTGTTTTTGGTGGTATTTAATCACCACTGGGTATTTTATTTTTTGCTAAATAAACGAAAAATTTTGGGGAAAAAAAAAAAAAAAATTTTTTCTTAGCTTCTATTATAAAATTTTGCAAACAGGTAATTTTTCTCCTTCACTGATGTGTGTTGATGAGGCTTATCCTTGAGAAGCAATACTGTACTTTTTAGTGGCAAAGAACACTTCTATAATACGATGTTCTCTCTTTGACCCAATGCTAGTCTAATGTAGCAAATTTAATTTTTGCATTAGGCCTCTTACACACTGCAGCTTGAAAGCAATGTACAGTGGTTTTTCTTTTACTGATGTAAAATGCAGCCCATTGTTTACAATGTGCCTGTACGCACGTGTGTAAACAAGCACTGCATATTCTTGAGTAAAATAAATAAATAAAATGTGCTTTCCCTATCAGAAATTTGTGTCTGTACGTGCCAATACACACATATGAGCATAAATATTTAGAATTTTCATAGATTTTGCCATAGGGAATGTATTGTATACGCGTAAATACATGTAACACACATGCCTGAAATTACATCCAGAAATACTAATGTTCAAACTTCATTACCGTGTGCAACAGCCCTTACAGTCTTCAATCAAGAAAGCATGTCTTAGAGAGAACAAATGTGCTTCTTTGGCATATTTCTATCTAGTGCCCTTTTCTCTAAAATAACTTTACTATCATATTTCCAAAAGCCCCTCGTTAGCCTTCTACACTGTCCCATGAGAAAAAAATCTAATGCTCATTAGTGAGATATTTCTCTCAGAAGCTACAGATACACTAGTTTTCCATTATAAACCCCTCATGGTCAGAAGTAGAACTATATCAGATTAACCCGTATATACTGTCAGGCACTGGCTGGCAGGATTTTGGATGGGTGTGTGTTACTTAGGTTTCTCACCTACAGTTAATGAGGGACTACAAGATTTGTGTCTGTTGAAGAAAACAAATTTTTGTTTGCTCAGAATCTTAAAGTGGAACTTCACTCTCTCAATCAGCATTGACTATTTTTAATCCTTATGCTGCTTGCATTAGTAAATAGATAAGTAATTATGATATACTTTCCTGTTTTAAACTTTTTTTTGTTTTTGTTTTACAATTCTTCAGTTACTTCCTGGTTTCAAGGCCTAGGAAAATGATGTCATACATCCCTATAGTCTTCAGGAGGGTAAGAAGGGTTTTATCAGCTAAGCACACCCTCCTGTCTGCATGCCTGAGCAGATAGATTCAAGGATGTAAATGCTACATGAATCATCTGCCCTTACTCAAGATGGCCACAGCCAGAAATGCTATGGGATGTTTTTCAAAAGTGATTTCTCAGCAGAATAAAGCATGGAGAGCCGGTTCACATATATGCGAATTGGATGCGGTTCAAACCTTATCCAATCTGCATGACATGAAATACCATTGCTTTCTATGGTGCCTGTTCTCATAGGCAGTGTGGATTGAAAAAGAGTCCTGTCCGATTTCTGAGCAGTGCAGTCTGGTTCAGGTGTGGATTACAGGCTCACTGACTTCTATGGGAACTGCTTCTGAATCACACGTCATGAGTTTGCGAACAGAGTTTCAGGTTTTCTCTCCTGATCCTGACATAAACCTGCCCCGAACTGCTGAACAACTACTTTGTCAATTAGCTCTGAAAACGGAGCTTCAATCCGCACAGCACATGTGTGAATCTACAGGGATGGATGGGTTTGCTTTGAATATTAAACATTAAATAGCATTTTTGCTTTTTGGTGCTTAGAAGCAGTGTTTTGGGTCCTGAAGCCCAGAGGATTTATAGATCTTCAGGCTTACATATGGTAGTCACAGCTCATTATCAGTCTCAGTTGTATATAGGCCTTTCAAATATGTGAGTTGACTGATGTCCTGGGTCTCTCTCTCTTAGGGTCGGTTCACACTATAGAAATGCAGTCCGGATGCGATTCTGCGTGTGTTTTTGATGCATTCCAGTGCACTTTTAATGTGTTCCAGTTAATTTTTTCCCCTCTCTTTTTCTTTAATTTAACCACTTGGTAACCACACTATAGCCGAATGACAGCTACAGCGCGGTTACCCAGTTCTGGGAGGATGTCATATAAAGTCCTCCCAGAACACGCCCTCAGGGCCACGCACCCGGCGATCTCCATGATCTCTGTGTCCTATGGACACAGCTGATCATGTGATGAGGTAAAAGGCCAATCACAGCAGCCTTTTACCACGTGATCAGTTGTGTTCAATGACACAGCAGATTATGGAGTAAATACAGTTTCCAGTTATTGGCAGCACTTTCGTCAACTGTCACAGCGTGAGGAAAGTACTGCCAATAACCAGCAGCTGTCACAGAGAAGATCGGCACTGATGATCAATACCCTGATAATCAGTGCCCTGCAGTGCCACCCATCAGTGCTGCCCAGCAGCGCCGCCTATCAGTGCCCATCAGTGCTGCATATCAGTACAGCCTTATCAATGCCCACCAGTGCTGCCTCATCAGTAACACCTCATCAGTTCAGCCTATCAGTGCTGCAAATCCGTGCCACCTCATCAGTGCTGCCCATCAGTGCAGCTTCATCAACGCACATCAGTGAAGGAGAAAAATGACTTGTTTGCAAAATTTTATAATAGCAACTAAGAAAAACTTTTTTTGTTTATAGTACAAAAAATAAAACACCCAGTGGCTATTAAATACCACCAAAAGAAAGCTCCATGTGTGTTAAAAAAAAATTATAAAAATTTCATATTGGTAGTGTTGCATGACCGCGCAATTGTCATTCAAAGTGCGACAGTGCTGAAAGCTGAAAATTGGCCTGGGCAGGAAGGCGGTATAAGTACCCAGTAGCCAAGTGGTTAAATAGGGACATGTGCGTTTTGGTGCATTCCATTACAGTTCTGTGCAGGAAAAATGGAGTCTGTTCTACTTTTTTTTTCTGCATCCAGAACTGCAAGCACGGATGTGAATTATGACATTGATAACCTACTTTCTGTGCATTTTGGATGCAGAAAAAAAAAAAGCACACTAAAATGCATGTAGTATGCACTGGCCCTTACTCTTTCAGCTGTGAGAGCCTTCTGTTGCTGGGTGAAAAGGCTGACTGTTGCTAGAATAAAAAGGTATATGCGCTTTGGGAAACCCATTACGGGGCATCCTGCTATTCAGGAACTGACATAAGTTTAGCCAATGACGCGGATTAGCTACTGTTCTGTTTGTTTTATACTATAAACTTACTGTACAAAGCCCTCCTCTTTTGAAACTGTGTCTGTTAGCTGTCTTGCTAAATAAAAGCGCAGGACAAACCTTCTTGGACTGTTCCTGGGTGTCTGTCTCATTCATAGTTTACCAATGTCACTACCTGTTTACACTTGAGCCTATTCCCTTTGCAACACACACACACACACACACACACACACACACACACACACACACACACACACACACACACACAGATGGTGTCCTGGGGTATTCCTCCCAAATCCAGACCAGGGCATCACTGAGCTCCTAGACAGTCTGAGGTGCAACCTGGCAGCGTCGGATGGACCAAAATATATTGGATTTAGGTTAGGGGAGTGTGGGGGCCATTCAATGGTATCAATTCCTTCATTCTCTACAAACTGCCAGCATACCCCTGCCACATAAGGCCGAGCATGGTCGTGCACCAGGAGGAACCCAGGACCCACTGAACCAGCGTAGGGTCTGACAATGGTTCCAAGGATTTCATCCCGATACCTTATGGCAGTCAGGATGCCATTGTCTAGCCTGTAGAGGTCTGTGCATCCCTCCATGGATATGCCTTCCCAGGCCATCACTGACCCACCACCAAAACGGTTATTCTGAACGATGTTACAGACAACATAACGTTCTCCACAGCTTCTCCAGACCCTTTCACGTCTGTCACATGTTCTCAGGGTGAACCTGCTCTCATCTGTGAAAAGCACAGGGCACCAGTGGCGGATCTGCCAATTCTGGTGTTCAATGGCAAATGTCAATTGAGCTCTATGGTGCTGGGTAGTGAGCACAGGGTCCACTAGAGGACGTCGGGCCTTCAGGAAATCTGTTTCTGATTGTTTGACCAGACACATTCACACCAGTGGCCTGCTGGAGGTCATTTTGTAGGGCTCTGGCAGTGCTCATCTCTTTCCTCCTTGCACAAAGGATCAGATACTGGTCCTGCTGATGGGTTAAGGACCTTCTATGGCCCTGTCCAGCTCTCCTAGAGTAAACTGCCTGTCTCCTGGAATCTCCTCCATGCTCTTGAGACTCTGCTGAGAGACACAGCAAACTTTCTGGCAATGGCACATATTGATGTTCCATCCTGGAGGAGTCGGACTGCCTCTGCAAACTCTGTAGGGTCCAGGTATCACCTCATGCTACCAGTAGTGACACGAACCCTAGCCAAATGCAAAACTAGTGAAAATCACTCAGGAAAGAGGAGTAGGGAAAAAAAATGTCAATGGTCTCCACCTGTAAAACCGTCCCGGTTTTGGGGGTCATCTCATTGTTGCCCATCTAGTGCACCTGTTGTTAATTTCATTAACACCAAAGCAGCTGAAACTGATTAACAACCCCCTCTGCTACTTAACTGACCAGATCAATATCCAGGAGTTTAATTGACTTGACACTATACTCTGTATACTGCTCAAGAAAATTAAAGAAACGCTTTTAATTCACACACAAATGCAAGCTAAGGATCAATACCTGCACATTCCTCAACTGATCCCAATTCATCAAGCTTAGCATTACCTAAAATTTTGAAAGACACTCAAGGAAAGGACATGAACTAGAAGATTTTATGTTTTTCAGTTCAATTACATAGAATGCCAGGAAAAGTGTGTTTTGCGGCACCTAAATTAATAAAAGGTTTTAATAAATTGAAAAAATTACAATAAATACTTAGAAAGGATACTCCAGTGCATTGTTCGGCTTCTCTGGTTCTTCATACAGCTCTACCAATACTGCAAAAGATAAGAAAATGAAAAATTCACTCATCTAAATCAGTAGCAATCTTCAAAACTTTTTATACATACACTGGAAACTCCAAGTGAAGTTAGCAGGCAGAATTTGGAGGGTAAGGGACTAGTAAACATTGGCAATACAGTGCAAATTAACAGGTTTGCTGAATCTCCTGGTCTCCGGTACCACATTCTTTTCTTCACTTCCCTGAAGCTCTGTTTATCAGAAAGGAGTCACGGAGCATGTGAGTGATGGACCTGTCACAGCACATCACATGGAGAGAGATCATAGCACTGTGTAAGCTACGACTTCATTTATAGCTCCTGGCAGCTGAAATGAGTGGCAAGAAAAAAGAAAAAAAAAAAAAAAAAGTGTGTACTATAAGGAAATTTGCTTTGCCTAAGCACATGTTCACTTTAATGGGTTAGTTCACCTTTACTAAAAAAAAAATGCCTATGCAAGTGAGGGGCGCCTGTAGATAAAAACAAACTGTGCAGCTTTGACTAAAATTGGATAATGCCCTGGTTATAGATGTAGGACATCTATGTATCTCCTGAAGTCTGGCTGAAGAACTCCCCAAGATGGCTTCTTCCATCCTGCCTTGTTGCTAGCACACCCCCACCATCATAGGATTGAGCTCTAAAACCCCTGCACATGTGTGGTCCAGTCTCTCCTCTGTTGCAGCATAGCTGAACTCATTGCTACTGTGACAAGGGAGAGAGCACACATGAGAGAGGGTTTGAATCAGCTAGGAGTATCATAGCAACATCCAAGCAACAAGGCAAGACAAGATGATGCCATCTCTGGGAGTACATAAATAGCCTACTCCTATAGCAAGGGCATTACTGACCTTTCAAAGCTGCACAATTTGTTTTTATCTACAAGCACCCCTTACTTGAATAGGCAATTATTTTTATAAAAGAGTACTAACCCTTCAAATTTCCAATGAGAGTGGCTTCCAAGGCCTTTAGTCACAATCCCTCTTTGCTAGATGTCAGTCCAGCACTGTTAGTGTATGCATGACATCCATAGAGCCAATAGATCACGGATTAGGGGATAAACACATGAAAGGATGTATGAGCTCCTTAATGGCCTGTATAGGTCTGTATGTTGATTTACTCAAACTTTATTATGCTGCTTATTCAATTGAGAATTGTGCAACAACATTTCATATTTTCTTCGGCTACTGCAGGGATCAGCAACCAGTAGATCACGGCCAGGTGACTGGTAGATCGCGGTCTAGGCTTGCTGACCTGCCAGCCCAGAGCATCAAATAGATTGCAATGCAGAAGGACTACTTGTAAAGTTGGAGCTGTAGTAGGGAGCAAGAGCCGCATAAGCCGATGCCTTCTCTGTAGTGCTGGCTCCTGTCCCAACCGCACTCCACCTCTTATCCTGGCTAGCAGTCTTCAAAGTGGTGCCAGCAGCAGGAAAGAAGAGATGTTCAGGTCAGTGTGAAGGAATACACTGAGCATAATAGTATAGGGCTGCTTTCACACTGATTCGCTGAAGTTTACCCACACCACATGTGCAGTGCAGCGTACCTGCAGCTTTCCTATACTTAGCCATAGACTTCTATTATATCCTAGAGGTTTGGTGCACTTTCTGAAAGCACACCAAAAAACTCTTTAATGCAGGAGGTTTAGTAAGCTTTCAGAAAGTGCACCACACCTGCAGGATATAATAGAAGTCTATGGCAAAGCACAGCTAACCCAGGAAAGTCACAGAAGCAAGTTAACTGCAGCACATCAATGAGAAAGCAGCCTTATAGGCGGCTCACATCAGTAAGAGTTAATTTACATTTGCAGCTTGGGGGGTGGTAAAACCCCCGTAGTAAAAGGTGTGTTTTTACCACCCTCTGCCCCAACCACACCTCCTTTTGATGCAGGCCAGGGGTGTACACGTTACAGCCACAGCAGGAGATATATGCCCTGTCATGGTTGGTGGGTATAGCACTTGCCAAGTATGACCCATTCAAGTGAGTGAGGTTGCTCTGCAAGTGCCCTGCAACCTTGTTCAGTACAGCAAACAGGGCCTTAAAACAGGCAGTGTTGTGTTTTTTCTTCTCACCACCTGCTTTAACCCCTCAGACCCCACAGAAACATGCAGTTGCGAGGTGCTTGCAGAATGGCCCCATTTACTTCCTTAAAAAGCTTCCACAAACCCATCAAATCTTCCTAAAGTTGACAGTACATTGATGCATTTTTTTCAGCATGTGGCATGGATGAATGAATCTCCCACTACAGCTATTGTATTTTGACAGCACGCCCTGCTGGCATCTAGATAAATGCAGCCACTGTTCAGCCGGAGGGATTTTAGGCAAGTGGCAGCCAGCAAGACCACCAACTGAGCAAATTTCAGAAGGTTCTTCAGGAACCTGCCAAAATTCAAACCGCGAATGGCTAGTCTACACAAATCTACCCTTTTCCACTTTATAGAGAGGGAAACATTGCGTTTCTTTGTCACTTCCATCTTTCTCTGCAAAGGGACAGCAAACTTAAAAGGATGAGTTCACCTTTTAGACAAAATAATAAAATGTGCATTTATTTTTGTCTACAGGAGCCTGGAAAGCATTGCACCAGCGATCAGCAGATCGCTGATGCCATGCAGGTCTCCTGCAGACCTGTCAGAATATCTGCTTACTGTACTGGGTGTACGAGCAAGCAGATATTCTGACAGGAACCTTCAATGAACTACCATAGCGCTCCACAGTGTCGTGGTAGTTCACTAAAAACTACAAGCCGACAGCCACTGTCTGTCTACTATGGGATCATGTTCCACCCTAAAACCGGGTGGAACATGTAACATATTCCCAAAGGTGAACTTATCCTTTAAAGATGGTCTGCAGCTTTGAAAGCAGCTAGCTAAGGCAGTACAAGGGCATGTCAAAGTGGCACAGTGCAAGTCTAATGCCTTCCTGAATACCTGTAGATAATGAGTCATTTTACCAACTTCTTTCAAACTGACGTAGTAGTATCTACTAAAGATTTGTAGTCTAACAATAAAACAAATAAAACCACATAACAATAAAACAAAGAAGACCACAAGTCTTTAGTAGCTGCAGCTGATACATAATTTGATAATTTCCCTTTTGACCAGTTGGTGCAGACCTGTTGTGATATTGTTTGTGGCGTAGTAGTATACCAGAGTACAAATCTGACCTAACAGAGAATCGCATTTCTCACTGACCTGTAGAGATATTTTTAGGCAGAACAAAGAATTGTAAAATGCTCACTTTTAGTAAGCGTGTCGAGCACTCCTGCCTTCTCCAAGTATCTTCTAAATTGTTCCCTTTTAGAATCACCAGCCTAAAAATAAAAATATATTAAAAAAAAACAAAACAAAAAAAAAAAAAAAACAACACAACTTCAATAATGAGCAACTTTAATTTATTATAAAAGCTGTTTTTCTATGTCAAACCTGATTTCATACATTAAACATGTAGCAATCACAACACAATACAAAAGAATACATGTGTGGCTAATACATACAAAGACATGGGGGTGGGGGGGGGTAATCAAACAGAGAGCAGAAAATGGAATGACAGATACTTACCGTAATTTTCCTTTCCTAACAAGCTCCGTGTCAGCACAGCTAGGCAAGGGCCCGACCCCATGCTTCCATGGCCTAACTCATAAATTTGAGCCCACCTGCAGCCTCAGTGTTCTGTAACTAGTCGTACCAGGCTGGGTGGGAGTTGTGCTGACATGGAGCTCGTCAGGAAAGGAAAATTACAGTAAGTATCTGTCATTCAATTTTCCGTTTCCTGACAGCTCCATGCCAGCAAAGCTGGGCACTAACTAGCCAAAAAAGGGGAGAGATAATTTAAGAACTGAGCTAACAACTAGCCTGAAGTTATTATGGGAAAAGGTTGTTACTCAATCTAACACACTGTCTGTTGAACATGAGATACGGCCACTAGAGGGCGCCATCCAACAACTTTCTTCCTCATATGAACAATTGAGTACTGTCTGTGATACTTTTTTTATTTGCGCTAACATACAATTTTGAGGACAAGCTTTCGGGGAATGTCCTCTTCTTCAGGTCTAAGCAGTACTGAAAAAAGCTTAGACCTGAAGAAGGGGACACTCCCCGAAAGCTTGTCCTCAAAACTGTATGTTAGTGCAAATAAAAAAACTATCCCGGACAGTACTCAATTGTTCCTGTCACAAATGCACTAATACGGCTACAATCACCTGCCTCATATGAACAAATTCAATAATGTTTTACAGAGTATGCACATGGAAGATTTGTTAAAGGAATTAAACAGCTTCAAGGTTCTTAATCTAGAAAAGAGACAGTTTTACCCAGCAAACCAAATTAAAGGCAGAAGCAAAGATAAAGCTGCTACAAGACACTGCATCTCACAGATCCGTTTCTAAAAGCCATTCTAAAAAGTCCTCTAAATCTAATAGTTCAAGACACTCTGCACCCAGTGAGCGACTTATTAGTGCCTGTGCTGAAGTGGAAGTATATGCAAAAAAGGGAGCAGAGTTAGAAACTCAGTCAGCACACCAAAGAGCAGCAGTAGAAATCTTAAATGAACAGTGTAAACATGATACAGCTATGGCAAAACTAAGGATCCTAGAACAAGCTATCACTGCAGACGGAGGTGCAAGGAGAAAGACAGCATTAACCTAAACATAGCAGATATGGAAGATCCCCTCAAACGCACTACAGACTATGCCATATTGTGAGCTCGAAAGAGCAGGGCCCTCGATCCCCTCATGTTTGCATTGTATTGTTCTGTCACATGTTCTGTCCCCCTTTGTAATGTACAGCGCTGAGCGAACTATTGGCGTTTATAAATACTGTATAATAATAATAATAATGCCATAAGCTACTGCAGTGTACACTCTATCATCTCCAATGCTCCTGACAACACAGAGACTTCTTTTCAGCGTAAAGTTAAAGAGGTTCCAGCAACTTCCTGCATGCAAAAATCACTCCAACACCTTCCCTGCCTATTTACCCAACCTTCCTTCATATGTCACAAGCAAGTCATCAATCTTCTGTCATCAGTACAGCCTCAAATAAACGTACTATTGAAGCAACTGACTTCAAGCAAGAAACTCGCCTGAATGCATCTGCTGCACCATATTTCCTTGTGTCTTATAACAGCTACATCAAAGATAGCACAATCAGCACTGTTCAGCCAACAACATCTTGCATAAAGTCAAAGACAACTAAGACAGCAGAGTTTGTTAGGTACATACTTCGCAGAGAGCTCACAAAAACTGGTCTGTAGTTTTCAAGTTGGTCATCAAAACTTGTAAGAAGTTGGAAATGTGCTTTCAGAACTGCAGTCAATGGTCTTGGTATTACAGCTGCTGAAGAGTTGGATCTGCTGATCAGATGGCTTGGTCCTCTATCTGCTGCACGTGTTAAGCCATTAAGATCAGTTTTCATGGACAATCCTACAGCAGGCCTCACAGCTGCATGGGATCGATTAGAGCAACGTTATGGCAGTCCAGAAGCTATAGAAAGTGCTCTGTCTAGAAACTTTCCCAAAGATATCTGGTAAGGACAACAAGGATTTCCAGGGACTGAGTGACCTTCTCCTTGAGCTTCAGCTAGCCAAGGCAGACCCAAAACTACCTGGACTCAGTTACCTGGACACTGCCAAAGGGGTAAACCCAATCGTCTCCAAGCTTCCATATGGTTTGCAAGAAAAATGCAAGAAAAATGGTCCGCACTAGGGTCATCATACAAAAAACAGAACAAGGTTTCCTTCCCTCCATTCTCTTTCTTCTGCAAATTCATCAGGAACATTGCAGAGACCAAGAGTGACCCATGTTTTTCCTATGCCGAGTACAGTCTCTTTTCATCCTTTCCTAAGAGCACCAGTCTTGAGGCCAACTATAGGAACCGTAGAGGCCCAGTATCCATAAAAAGACTGACATCCTCCCCACTCTCACCACAGTTGTGGCTGCAAAAATAGAGTAGGAAGATTGAAAACCCTGAGAGAGTGTCCCATTCACAAGAAGCCACACTCCCTCAAAAAATGCATCGGCTTTAGGAAAAGGCCTCTAGAAGAGCGTAACAAGCTTTTAAAGACAATCAGGGTATGTTTCAAGTGTTGTGCTTCTACTGAACATTTTGCTAAGGACGATAATATGTCCATCAAGTGCATACAGTGTGGCTCAGAAGAACATTTGCAAGCCCTCCATCAACTTGAGCCCAACTCTGCACAACCTGTTAACTCTCCTCCCAGATCAATGCAAAGCTGGGAGAACACAGATCAAGTGCCTGATTCCACCAGAATTTCTTCATCCTGCACTGAAGTTTGTGATAAGTCGTGTGCTAAGATATGCCTGGTGAACATATATCACGAAAATCAACCAGAAAAGACTCTAAAGGTGTATGCGATCTTAGATGATCAGAGCAGTAGATCACTTGCAAGATCAGAACAGTTTGACCTATTTGAAATAAAGGGTGAAGCTCATCTTTACACCTTGGGTACTTGTAGTGGAACTACAGAGGTTTTTGGAAGAAGGGTTCATGGACTCATGGTATCTCCTCTCAAAGGTAACCTGCAATTATTCCTACCTACACTTGTTGAGTGCAACCAGATACCTGCTAACAGAGAAGAAAATCCCTACACCAGCTGCTGCCTTCCAGCACCTTCACCTGAAGGTAATAGCAAATGAGATACCACCGCTTGACAAAGATGCTTAGATCCTTCTTCTGTTAGGAAGAGACATTCTAAGGGTTCACAAGGTACACAGACAAGTCAGTGGAGCCCAGATGCCCCATCTGCCCAGCACACAGATCTAGGTTGGGTCATCATAGGTAAGCTCTGTACAGGCAAGATGAAGAGACCTAGCAACATTTCATCATTAAAGACAAATATTCTGCCAAATGGCCGAAACACTTACTTTGAGCCATGCCCACATCACTACTGGGTGAAAGAGAAGATAGCTAGCTGCAAATGACGACATAGTGTCTCAGGCAACACAAGCCCTTTCTCTTCCCATGACGATGACCTCGGCTCTACAGTGTTTAATACGGGAATAGTGCCCCATCGTTGGCGTCAGCGGGGGGGAGGAATAGTGCCCCATCGTTGGCGTCAGCGGGGGGGAGGAATAGTGCCCCATCGGTGGCGTCAGCGGGGGGGAGGAATAGTGCCCCATCGGTGGCGTCAGCGGGGGGGAGGAATAGTGCCCCATCGTGGCGTCAGCGGGGGGGAGGAATAGTGCCCCATCGGTTGGCGTCAGCGGGGGGGAGGAATAGTGCCCCATCGTTGGCGTCAGCGGGGAGGAGGAATAGTGCCCCATCGTGGCGTCAGCGGGGGGGAGGAATAGTGCCCCATCGGTGGCGTCAGCGGGGGGGAGGAATAGTGCCCCATCGGTGGCGTCAGCGGGGGGGGGGGGGGGAAATAGTGCCCCATCGGTGGCGTCAGCGGGGGGGGGGGGAATAGTGCCCCATCGGTTGGCGTCAGCGCGGGGGGGGGGGGAATAGTGCCCCATCGTTGGCGTCAGCGGGGGGGGAGGGAATAGTGCCCCATCGTTGGCGTCAGCGGGGGGGGGGGGGAATAGTGCCCCATCGGTGGCGTCAGCGGGGGGGGGGGGGAATAGTGCCCCATCGGTGGCGTCAGCGGGGGGGGGGGGGGGGGAATAGTGCCCCATCGGTGGCGTCAGCGGGGGGGGGGAATAGTGCCCCATCGGTGGCGTCAGCGGGGGGGGGGAATAGTGCCCCATCGGTGGCGTCAGCGGGGGGGGAATAGTGCCCCATCGGTGGCGTCAGCGGGGGGGGGGGGAATAGTGCCCCATCGGTGGCGTCAGCGGGGGGGGGGGGGGAATAGTGCCCCATCGGTGGCGTCAGCGGGGGGGGGGGGAATAGTGCCCCATCGGTGGCGTCAGCGGGGGGGGGGGAATAGTGCCCCATCGTGGGCGTCAGCGGGGGGGGGGGGAATAGTGCCCCATCGGTGGCGTCAGCGGGGGGGGGGGGGAATAGTGCCCCATCGGTGGCGTCAGCGGGGGGGGGGGGAATAGTGCCCCATCGGTGGCGTCAGCGGGGGGGGGGGAATAGTGCCCCATCGTGGCGTCAGCGGGGGGGGGGGGGGGAATAGTGCCCCATCGGTGGCGTCAGCGGGGGGGGGGGAATAGTGCCCCATCGGTGGCGTCAGCGGGGGGGGGGGGAATAGTGCCCCATCGTTGGCGTCAGCGGGGGGGGGGGGGGGGGGAATAGTGCCCCATCGGTGGCGTCAGCGGGGGGGGGGGAAATAGTGCCCCATCGTGGCGTCAGCGGGGGGGGGGGGGGGGGAGAATAGTGCCCCATCGTGGCGTCAGCGGGGGGGGGGGAATAG